AATATAGAAGATTTACTATAATTGTTACTAAACTTTTTTTTTAAACAGTACCTAAGTATTTTTGTTGCAAAGCGTTTTAATATATTTAATGAATGTACATATATACAAAACCAATGAATAAATCAACAGTACCAGTCCTTTAGGTCTTTTGCTCAGTGTTCATTCAGTTCAATCATTATTGTTGAATAAATTATTATATATAAAGAAATTCCTAATTTAAGAAATTTAGATGTAGTAAAATTTTAAAATTTTAAATTATAATGTAACCCAAAGATATTGGACAATTGGTAAATATGATGTAACCCAAAGATCAAAATGCTAAGGAAAGTGTTTTGATATTCTACAGTTTGAAGCAACAATTTGTTTCAACCCACTGGAAATACAAATATTGCAATTTACAATATTTTAACTTAACTTTTTTGAGAATAAGAAACAAACTTAGAACCTACAGCAACTCACTCAGGTCGCCCAGACATTGAGCAACGCCATCCTCCATAACAACAATCGACCACCACCGCCGAACGGAAACTCAGATGTAGCGCCAAGTCTCAAGCCATCGCCCGCCTATCTTCTCAGGAGAAGAAGATCCCACGACCCTCGAAGAATGGATACGAACATTTGACGAGATCTTCGTGGTAGTAGAATGTCTGGAGAGACGCCGTGTAGAAATAGCTTCATTCTACTTCGGACACGAAGTCGACCTTTAGTGGGTTCACGAAGGACCTGTTTGTAGGCAAGAACCGGGATTCAATTGGGAATTCCTAAAGGTACGACTACGGAGACGGTTCTACCCTGCACACATAAGGGCAGCCATGTACGAAAAATTCCTCCACCTGAAACATGGGATGTCCACGGTAATGGAATACCACAAACGATTTCTTGAGTTAGCTCGTTTCGCACTTGAATTGGTGCCTACAGAGACGACCAAAATAGAGAAGTTTGTGACGGGCCTCAACTTCGAAGCTCGAAAGGCTTTAATCATGAGTAAGCCCAGAACCCTTAACGAGGCTTACACCAGCACCGCTGATCTTTACCGAATCCAACTTCTACAACAAGGAGTTCAAGAACAAATCCGCAAGAGGAATACCGGAAGTGTGGGACCAATTGTGAAAAGAGCAAGGAACGACTCTAACACAACGACGGCTAACCCACCTAATCAAGGATCATCCATGAGGTACAACGAAACCAGCGTGAGGCAATTCCTTTTGTTATAAATATTTTTATAAAGTTTTGATATGTTTTATTTTTTACTCATATCCAATAATATTTATGGTTATACTTCTTTAAGTGTTTTATTTTTATTTTTCAAACTATCTATTTTATTGTGTTAGGATAATAATCCGTATGACGGAAGGTACTTCTATTAAATCTCACTTGGATGAATTCAATTCTATTTTATTGGACTTGGAAAATATTGATGTTATAATTGAAGATGAGGATCGCGCTGTTTTATTGCTTGTCTCTCTCCCTAGATCATACACGCATTTCAAAGAAATTATGTTGTATGGTAATAGTAGTGATACCCTTACTTTCGACAATGTTAAGTCAAACCTATTGTCCAAAGAAAAGTTTGACTTTGAAATTAAGTCTGAGGACAAAGGTGAAGGCTTGACCGTAAGGGGTCGTTCACTTGAATCAGGGAGTAGCAATAAAAATTCCAGATCCAAGTCCAAAGGACATAAGTCCAACAAATCCTGTAAGTACTGCAAGAAGCATGGTCATGATGTGACTGAATGCTTCAAGTTGAAAAACAAGCAAGAGAGAGAAAAGAAGTCCGCTGAAGCTAGTGTTGTTGAAAGTGATTCAGATGGTGATGTGTTGTTATCTGTTAGCTCCGGTGAGAAACGGAGTGAAACCGAGTGGATTTTGGACTCTGGTTGTACATTCCACATGTGTCCCCACAGAGATTGGTTCATTTCTCTGGAACCGGTTGATGGTGGAGTTGTCTTGTTGGGTAATGATACCCAATGCAAGGTTAGTGGAATTGGAAGTGTTCAGATTAAAACTCATGATAACGTTGTCAGGACTCTTACCAATGTTCGGTATATTCCTGATTTGAAACGCAATCTGATATCGTTGGGCACCTTGGAATCTCTGGGGTACAAGTACATAGCTGAAGGTGGAGTTTTGAAGGTCATAAAAGGCTCTGTTGTTCTCATGAAAGCTTCTCGTTCTGGAAGCGTGTACGTCTTGCATGGCAGTACTGTGACGGGTTCAGTAGCGATATCCTCATCGATGTCTGATGCGGATCTCACTCAATTATGGCATATGCGTCTGGGGCATATGAGTGAGAAAGGCATGCATCTCCTGAGCAAGAAAGGTCTCCTTGGTGGTTCAGGTACGGGTAAATTACAATTTTGTGAGCATTGTATTTTTGGGAAACAAAAGAGGGTTAGTTTCTCTACTGCTACACACCGTACCAAAGATGTATTGGAATACATACATTCCGATTTATGGGGACCGACTAAATTCCAGTCTATGGGAGGCTGTAGATATTTTATGTCTATTATTGATGACTTTTCTCGTAAAGTCTGGGTCTATTTCCTGAAACATAAAAATCAAGCATTTTCTATTTTCAAGAAATGGAAAATACTTGTTGAGACTCAGACAGGTAAAAAAGTCAAGAAGCTCAGGACAGACAATGGCTTGGAGTTCTGTGAGTCAGATTTCAATGACTTTTGTGCGGCAAATGGAATTGCCAGGCACAAGACCTTGCCTGGTAAACCCCAGCAGAATGGTGTTGCCGAACGTTTGAACAGGACTCTATTGGAAAGAGCTCATTGTATGCTCTCTAATGCTGGGTTATGGAAACGGCGTGATTTTTGGGCCGAGGCCGTTTCTACTGCTTGATATTTGGTAAATAGATCTCCACATTCATCCCTTGATTTCAAAATTCCAGAGGAAGTTTGGTCAGGTAATCCTGTTGACTACTCTATCTTAAGAGTTTTTGGATGTCCTGCTTATGCTCATTCCAGTACGGGTAAATTAAACCCGAGAGCTGTCAAATGCATTTTCCTTGGTTATGCTTCTGAGTCAAAAGGGTATCGTCTATGGTCTCCTGATTCTCGGAAAATCATTCTGAGTCGAGATATCACTTTTGATGAAAATGCACTACTTTCTTCTGGAAAAGTTCCCAGTACTGGTGAGACGCAAAGTACTGGTGAGAAGGTGGAGTTTGAGTTCAGGCCTATTGATAGTGTTACTACTGCTGATGGTAATACTAAAGATGATGCATCTACTAGCACCGCACCTCTCGTCGAGCCACAACGAGAGTATTCCATTGCTATGGATCGGCCTAGGAGGACAATCAAGAAACCTGCTAGGTACGCTAGTGACGATGAAACCAATATGGTTGCTTATGCTCTTTCAGTCGCATAGGAAGTTGATGGTGATTCATCCTGCTATTCTGAAGCTTTTCCTATTGCTAAGTTCAAGCCATACTTGAGTTTAGTCGGCTGTTCCAGTTGTTAATTCCACAATGGATTTGATCCAAGGTGGAGATTGTTAGAAAACTAAAATATGTGGCTCAAAATCCATGAGACCATTTCTCCATTGTTAGTGCCACATGTCCACATTGCACTCCAACATTGCATGTCCTTAATCTGCATGCGCACGTTTGCAATCTTCATGCCATTTTTTTCTCCTTTTTAATTGTATAAATAGCAGTAATATTTGCTTTGTAATAATCGCTCATTCTCACATCAATTCAATATATTTTGAATTCATTCATTTGCTTTCTTTCATTTCCCACGTAGATATATATATATATATATTATATTCTTTCAACTCTTTTAAGTTATAATATATATTTCCTTTATTCCTAATTCTTTTGTCTTTTATATAATTTTCTTCATTTATATATTTTCCCTATTATTTAACTTCTATAATTCTCAATTTCCGATTCTTCGCTTCCACATTATTCCGCTATATTCCTAACATATTGTAATGTTCATATAACTTCATATGAATTTTAACCCTGCTTTAAAGAGGAAAGTTATATTCCGGTGACAAATTGATGAAAAATGAGCCGGCATGACCTTTTTGCTACAAAAAAAAAAATAATCATGGACCTAGTTTGCAATATTTAAAAGTTGTGGAGCAATCTTGACAATAGTCGTGGGACCAAAAGTGGAAAAAGTCTAATACCACTCCTATTGAATGATTACTAGCATCACACATCATTAAACCCAAGCTGCCACATCCTTTTCCAACAATTTGGTCAAGGGCCTAACAATCTTGGAGAAATCTTTGATGAAGCTCCTAAAAAATGGGCATGGCCTGAAAAGCTCCTAAGCGTTGAAACGTGGATAGAGGTGGGGATAGGCTTTCTATAATTGAGGTCTTAGCTCTATCTACCTCTATTCCTCTCCTTGACACTTTATGGCCTAGCACTATCCTATCCTCCACAATGTACATTTTCCAACTAAGTGCTAAATTTACTTCTTGGCAATGTTTAAGTACCTTATTTAAATTTTCTAGACAATTATCGTCAAAAGTTTTTTCAAAAATTGTAAAATTGTCCATAAACTTCCCTATATAATCCCTGAAAACCGCTATCATACGCCGAATAAATATAGCTGGTGCATTAAACAAACCAAATGGCTTACACCGGTACACCAAAGTTCCAAACAAAGTGTAAAATTCAACGACGTCGTTTTGAACCGTGATTCACAGAGCTGTGTGGAGCGGATAATTTGCCCTAATTCATTAATTCCTACTACTACTACTACTACTATTATTATTATTATTATTATTATTATTATTATTATTTTATTATTGTTGGTGGTGGCGACGGCATGTAAGACAGTAAGAGCTAATTAAACTCTAGTACATTATTCAACATTGTATAATTTTTTTCTTAAAACGATATTCGTCAAAGTATAAATTATATAATTTTCAATGACTTTATAAAAGCTTAAGCTCATCTTGGTTTAATAAATCAAACGTACTTGTCCAAAAACTAAAAAGAACTAAAAATTAGACAAAGCAATAAAATAAAGCATAGGATAGCAATTTGTGATATTCCTTACGAAAGAGAATTTTTTATATTCACTCATGTAACATTACAATGCAGAGGATGGTATTTATTAATAACATGATGAATCACACACCAACATACACGGTTTCGGGAGGCAGATTTATTCATACAAAACCACTACACATATCAACCATCCAAATGAAATCACACTCAATTGAGAGAGAAGCTTTAGATGGAAACACTGTTGGGAATGCCTTTGCCAGTGAGACCAGCTTCACTTGTAGGGAAGAGTAGGGTGTATGGCATTTTCACAGGCCCTGTCCTGTTTTTCAGTTTTCCCTCGGTGTTCATTTTCATTATGCTGTCCTCGATTTCACCGAGCTTTGTTCCAAATCGTGCAAATGCATCTAGTGCTTCCTTGTCCTTTGTCCACTCGGGGCACTCTCTTTTCCCTAGGTACACCTCATCCGAAGCATGCCTCGACAGAATTTCAATAAGGGAAACACCAAGGAGAGTCTGCAACTGAGCAGTGATTGTTTTGAGGAAAACCTTATCTGGATCAGCCTCAAGCTCCTTATAGTCGTCTGTTCCAGGCACAGGCATGAATCTGCGGCTCAATGTAGGGCGGTTAGGGAGGTAACCAGCATAAGGGTATTGACCAAAGTTGACTGCTGCATGAAGTGCAGAGGCTATCCAGATAATAATGGCACACGAGTCGATCAGCTCCTGGACTGTCTGCATTTTTGGCCACCACGGCTTGTCTTTCAAATCGCCATGTCCTTGCTCTCTCAGCTCCTTCCACCAGGCCTGGAGTTCAGTATCTTTCTGAACCACGTCATCAGATTTGTAATAGATCTTGCAGTAGTCTTGTACCCATGTTTTGATGGACGACCATATTTCTAGCCCATCAACAGCAAATGGATAGTCTTGAATTAGTAGGCGAACACCGTTTGGGGAACTTGAGTCCTCAACAGCCACGCCTCTGAAACATCAAATTGTGTAACTGTCATATGACTCATATATTGCCATATATTACAACACTGGTTAAGCCTTATGAGCAAAGTTGAAAAACTTATACACGTTCAACTAGTTGCTTCATAATGACGTATCATTGTAAATAGTGAAACCTCTCTGTTACAATTCATTCATTGAGTTTATGGTTTCAAAGTTAAGGTAATGATACAAGACAATGCTTTATACAGGAATCACGGCATACCTCTTAACAAGATCAGTTGGAAGTGCATGATCAGTGAAAACCCAGTCCTTGTAGACTACAGCAGACATTTCCATTGCATATTTGTCAGGAAACACTGTTTTCTCAAGAACTCCACCAGCATTAATCAAGATCTGTCTAGCCAAAGCATTGATAGTCATTGTGTCACGGAAATGGGGATGCAGAAGCTTATGTATTGGGTGAAGCACGCTCAGTTGCCTATTTGTTGCTATCACAAATGGCTCAATTACTGCATGTGTGTTCAACCTGTGATAGACATTCAACATTAAGAATCTAAAATGTAAAGAATGGTTAATAGATCCAATAACAAACTTCTTTTTTAATAGGCAATATGTATACCAGTGGCTGATCAGCTGATGAACACCAGAATCATTCACCGCAACATAAGCTTTAGCCAATTGCCACAACCCATTTTCAACCCCTTGTTCAGCTGGTGTGTACACTTTGCTATCAGCACCAAATTTATCTCCAAGTGGATGAGGCAAGCTGAGCTCAATTGCAACAGGCTTCAAAGTGCCATCTGTGTTCAAGAAAAGCAGGGTTCTTGAGGCATATATCTTGTTATTTGTTGTATTTATGCGCCTCAAATATGGCATAAGGGTGTCATGGTGGTTCAATATGAATAGCCGATTACTCGCGATTGCCTGTAAAAATGCATCACATAGTTTCAATATTTTATGGATAGAGACTACCATTTGATTGTACAAAATAAGTGCAAGCAACAAATAAAATGAAATTACCTGCTCAACTGTAAGGCCATCTAAGTTTTGCTGAATGTGCTCTTTGGTAATTGTACTGGTTTGGTTGCCATAAACTGTAGGGTCCAGTTTGCTTTTTGGTGGGAACTCCTACATTTATAAAATTAAACAACGTAAGGATCAATCTTTAACCTAAGCTTCAGACTCCATTTGTTTCATTTTCCTTCGCTAAGAAATTTAAATCATTTAGTGAAGTCAATTTACTTGGAGGCGACTGATGATGACAGGGTTCACTCCAGCCAACATTTCTCTTCCAAATTCCTCATCCGTTCTCCATGCAGTTTTATCCTCTATTGCATCATCCACATTTAGGAAGTAAGACATTTATTATTTATAGCCTTATAGGAGAAAGGAAAGGGCACTATAAGGAAATGGACTAAAGCTTACCTTGGATAACCTGTGGGGTAGGGAATTTAAAGAGTCCCTCCCCATCACTTCGGATAAGTTCTTTAAGCATCTCAAGGGGAATGTTATCTGCGATGGCCGTAAGCAAAGGCCCTTGCGGCAGCTTGATCCCTCCTTCATAGAGATTAAGTATATCTTGAAAGCTGTCAAACTCAGTCGGGGTGGAATCAAACAGAGACTCAAATTCAGGGAGAAGGAACTGAGCAACAGATTTCAATGCATAAGTAAGAAAGTCTGCCAATTTCAGGTGTCCAAATTTCTCGTCCCTCGGAACATAAATGTCCAAGCTTGTAAGCAGTGGAATTCTGCTCTCAGAATTAGGATCTGCCAAGGCGATAATGGAACTTCAAATCAAGGTACTTAATGAAATCTGATCAAAAGATAGAAACATTTATGAGTATGTGTTACCAGTTTTTGTTGGTGCTCTGCCAGTCCTTCCTCGTCGAGGATAAGGATACTCTGAGTTTCCACCCAAGATTGGCCGGGCATATTCTGCACCTTTGTCTGGATCACCCAAGTCATTGTAGTAGGCATAGTCATACACCCTGTCCCATTCCTTAAGCTCGCCAGTTCCTGTTCCTCTCAAGTGCACTAATTCTTCATCTCGATATTTCTTCAACGGGGCAGGTGTTTGGCTTGGAAGATATGCCTACAAGAATTAAATAATTAATACAGGAAGTCAAATAAGATCAACCCTAATCAAACTGAATGAAATCATTAAACACACACTTCAACACAAATTTGAATACGGAGTATATGATATTCAAAGAGAAAACTAGAAAAAAGTACAGATATATATTGGCATCCAAATTGAACAATTCGAACAACGAATCACATATGCATGCTCCTCAGATATCAATTAATTTTGAAGGTTCTATAAATGCTCGGTAGTTTCTATTTATTAAAATAAATGGAAAATTTTAAGGCTAATCACAAAGGCATACCATTCAAAATTTGACCTAATATGAAGAAAATCAACATCCAATCCGATGAACATTACGATTTACGGCAACTCCAAAAACAAAAACAAAAAAAAAAGAAAAAAAAAAAAAAAAAAAAAAAAAAAAAAAAAAAAAAGGCAGAAGAAGTTCGTACCTGGTTTGAAAAGAAGATGCGCTCGTAGTTGTACTTACTGGCCGGATAAACCCAGGAGAAGCAAGCGAAATGTACTTCGCCATGATTGGGAACATCTTCAAGGGTTAGGGTTTTGAGGTAGAACTCATTGGGATGATTGTTCTTGATGATGAATGCTGCCGGAACCCCAAAATCTTCACTCCATTCGAACTCAATTTTGAACGCCGACTCGCCGGAGGCTAAAACCGTGTTCTTCAGCACCCAGTGGTCCAAGTATGCTGCCTTGCTGCGTTTTCCTTTCAATCCATTTCCTGCAAATATTATTATAATTTTAAATTTTAATTATTCATAAGGAATTATTAATTTTGGTGTCTAATTAAATACTGACGTCTACCACAAAATCAATACTATTAAGATTTTTTTTTATATCCAATTTAGAATAAGGGTAAAATAGATCACTGCACAACAAGGTACAATTAAGACATCAAACTCAAAAATAATATAATTGGGTCTTTGAACCATACAAAACCATACTATTAATTTTAAATGCCGGTTATTAATTTTAAAAATAATTTTTAAATATATTATTTAATTAATTAATTAAAATTTAATTTTTTTTTAAAAAGCTAGATCTGCCGGAGACGTATCGTCTCCATGACCAGGGAGACAAACCTTCGTCTCCATGGTTAGGGGCGAAGCTTTTCGTCTCCGGCCATGGAGACGAAGACTACCGGAGACGATTAGTATCCGACAGTTTTAGTTTTAGTTTTAGTTTTTTTTTTAATTAATTATTTTATTTAAAATTATATTTAAAATTTATTTTTAAAAATGGTAATCGCCACATCAACACAATTTTAGGTCAACAGGTCATTTTAATCCTAATTGAATGATTTTGTGTTGTTCAGGGACCTAATTGCATTATTTTTTAGTTTGATGGCCTAATTGTACTTTGGTGTGCAGTTCAGTGGCCTATTTGAACCTTATTCCTATACAATTTTAGAATATGATGCCATAGATATTAAACTAGTGTAATTTCAAAACAATACTTAAATTCATTTATAATATTATATATTGTGTCCATACTAAAATATAGAGTTAAATGACAGATCTGGTCTCTTGACTATTATGAAATTACCTATTTGATCATCGACTATCATTCTTATCAAATTAAGTCTTCAACTTTGAAAATCACGTCATTCTGTCAATTTGAATCGTAGGATGATAATGGATGACGAAATTGGGTTAGATTTTCAAAATTGATGAATTAATTTGGTAAGGATGATAGTCAATGACAAAATCAGTAATTTTGCTATAGTCATGTGACCAATTCGGTGATTAACTCTAAAATATATATTACTATTTGTCAATTACCTTATATTGTGATGGCATCCCAATTATTATTCTAAATGGGTGGTCATAGGTTCGACCCCGGTGTTGAAAACATAAAGTATAGAACAAATACTTGGTCATAGACTCATAGGTAACCATAAGATCCAAAGTTTAATTTTTAGATTAATTTACCTCCTTTAAATCATTCGCCAGTTAGGATCATAAAACGGACTTCATCAAAGCACAACTTCAGGTATTATAAGGAAAAGATAAAGTATTACTTGTACTATTAATTAATAAAATGATTATATATTAACTAGTTTTTAACTTTTAAATTAATATTAATAAAAATTTTAATTATCCAATAAAAAGTGACACGTAATTTTTACAATTAACAAA